CGGTCGTGCCGCCCGCCGCCCCCCCCCCCCTTCTCCAGGAGCTGCAGGTTGATATGTAAGTGAAGATTGTGGGGAAATCTCCCGCTGTACTTCCGACCAAAGACTGGCTTCTCTCCCCAGGGCTCTCGTGCCACTGGTTTTCAGGCAGGGGTGCTGGATCGGGGATATTTCTGGAAAAGAAAGTAAGTTCAAGTGAGTTGGGGTTTTATACTCCATCTTTCCCTCCTCTCTCTTTAATTATAACAAGACAAGGGACACTTGGCATGGACTTTAGGCCACTTAGGTGCCTACTGCTCTAATTTTGCAAACACTTTAAGTACCGGAGCAGGCTCATCTACTACTGGGATGAACTCAAGTTAGCATGCACTTAGCGGTATGTATGCTTGGAGCCTAAACATGAATGTGAAATTAAAAGGCAGCAGATTAAAAAAAAAATGATACAAAGAAATCATTTCTATGCACAACATATACTTGCCTGCACAATTCATCTTCACTAGATACCATTGAGGCCCAGGCCAGCCCCTCACCTAGCCAGTTTAAACTCAATACAGTTTATTCCTGAGGGTATTCTGCACCACAGTGCATAGGGAGAATTCGTGTTTCCTGCAGATTTTTCCCCTTCAGAAAACAGATTCTGTAGGTAGGTGCTGCAATTATATATTTCACCCTCTAGGGGCTGCTGTGACAGCAGAAGAGAGAGCACCCAGTCAGCAGGATGTCCTAGCAACCCCCCAAATAAAAAAGCATCTGTTCTGTACTCCCATCCACACCCAAAACCGCACAGGTTCACTCCTGCAAATAGTTTCCTTTCTCTCAGTTCCTCTATTATCCCAACCCTTTTGCACTGCTTCTGTGAAAAATACATTTCTGAATTGTAGTTTAAATTAATTTTATTATTCAAAGTTCCATGTAGTTCTATGCAAAGTAGTATGCCTAGTAAAGAATCTGTCAAAAAATTTCTTGACTCTTTTTTTGCTGTCTACATTGTAACAATCATTTGCTGGCAAGTATTTTGAAATAAATTACAAACATAAATGAAAATAGTGTGATTATATTTTGTTTTCCTGGCAAATAAAATATGTACATTTTTGCAGAATTTTAAAATGTTGTGTGCAGAATTATTTGTTTTTTTGGCACAGAATTCCCTCAGCAACTTGTCAGTTCAGCAAAAAAGGACGGAAAGGTAGCTGTCTTCTCCTGCACTTCTGGGGCTGAGTATGTGGCTCCAGGATTTTTGCAGGACTGAAAAAAATTAAAAATGTACATGGCTAATGGCAGCATCCACAATTGCAATGGATAGTACTGATTTTTTTTAAACAAATGAATATAAATATTCGTACTTTAGGAAATAAGATCTCTTCTAATTGCCCTGGTTTAGAAAGAAATGTTCTCTATGTGCAGATTATTCCATAACTATCCATTTTGTCCCTGATAAGCTTTGTTGTGTTACTTTAACTGGAATATGTGGGCCAAAAGAGTAACAGACGTTAACATAATCCAAACAGTTTTAAACAAGACTTGAGGTTTGTTGTACAGAAACTTTAGTCTGCCTAGCATCATGGCAAATAGATCTTTAACAATTATTTTACCCCTTTATTAAAGATAGAGGAAAAACAGTAGAAATGTAAAATATTAAGTAAGACTTTCTTTTTAATGTTATCATGTGTTCCCTTTCCTTTAGAGAGAGTTTTTACAAGGAAAACAATCCCTTGTCTGACAGTCTCTGAGGCTATGTCTATCCTACCAGATAGTTATTTCTGGAGTTATTTCGAAATTATTTCAGAATAAATTATGTCGAAATAAGCTTATTCCTCTTCACAAGCAGGAATTATTATTTCAAAATAACAGGCTTGGTAGTGTGGGCACTTGCCTTGTTATTTCAAAATAAGGGGAGTTATTTCGAAATAACTCCTCAGTGTATGCATGCCCTTCTGAGTTAGTAACTAGTGTTTTTCTGGGGAAAACAAATCAAACAAACAAACAAACAAAAAACAACAAAGAAAGTAGCTTTTGTTTCTGGTGTTGACTCTGAGAGCTGGAGAAATAGAGGCACAGCACAAGGTCTTATCAGCCACTCTGAGACAAACTTGAATCACCAACGTTGGGCTTTTTAGGACGTTGCTTTTTGCTGCCTCTTCTTGGTCACAGGCTAATAGCGCTGTTGCAAACTATATAATCTTGGCTGGCTAAGCCAGACTTCTGTCAGACAGAAGGAATGAGGAGAGCAATAGGAAAGACAAGAAATAAGGTAGAGCAAAGAAAGGACACATAGGGTGCATCTACACAGAACCGTGACTCGAAATAAGATACTCAATTTGAGCTACGCAAATTGCATATCTTATTTCGATTTTATTTCTAAAAAGCATTTTTTATCATTTGGCACTGACTACACAGCACCACATTTCGAAATAAAGTGCTATTCTGAAACGTCCCTTACTCCTCGTAGAATGAGATTTACAGGGATGTCAGAATAGCGAGCCCAAAATAACGGGCTTGCTGTGAAGATGCAGGATAGCTATTTTGGAATACTCTGGTACCCTGAAATAATGTTGCAGTGTAGATGTATCCATAGAGGGTGGGAGGAACACATGCAGTCTCTCATGCCAGGTAATATCTGGGATTCAGCTAGAGCAGGGGAGATAGCATTGCCATCTTGGTTTCTCTCTCTAGCCCAGTCGCTCAGGATGTCTCTTAGGATTGGGATAAAGAAGGACTGGGGTCCTAGGAGATTGTAGGGGTAGCACCCGTGATAGTGAAGCTTGCTCCTTTCCTTTCTCTAGTATTTTTGTCTAGTATATTTGTCTGGAAATGGATGACGGGAGAGATCATGTGAGGATTACCTGTTGCGTTTCCTCCTTCTGGGGCATCTGGTATTGACCACTGTTGGCAGACAGGATACTGGGCTAGACGGACTGTTGGTCTCACCCAGTACGGCCGTTCTTACGTTCTTATTTTAGTAAACCAGCATTGTGGTAGCCTCAGTCTGTTCATCAATTTTCCTTTTAAAGTCTCTTTCTGGAATAGCCCATCCTCCCATTGTTTTTTTGGCGCAGCAGCCTTATCATATGAGGCTATGATGGCCACTTTATTTATTTTTAGCTAAGTGTTTTTTTAAAGTATCCTTTTATTCAGTCTAGCAATCTTAAAGAAATACAGCCAGGCTTCTTTTTTTCTTCTTCTATTTTTTGAACTTGTTCCATTTTTCTGACATTCTTACCAGTCCCTTTGGGGAAAAAAATCTTTGATTCCAAGCCAACTAAGTTCATAAAGAAACTTTCTTTCCATAGAATATTGTCCACAAAGGCATGGAACATGATCAACAGTTTCTTTGGTTTGGCACACATTAAACTGCTCATTTTTATGTCTTTTTAATAAGTTTAACTTATCACTTATGGCACAATGAACTGTTAACACGCTGTAAATGAGTCCTTCACGTTTTCTAGCATGGCTGTGGAATATAGTATTATCTTTGATTTTTGAGCATGTTTCATAAGATTTGGTTCTTTTGTTTCCTTAGACCAGGGTTCTTGCCATGCCTTCGCAAGCTCCTTTGTGACCACACTTACATACTTTTTCAAGATAATGGTATTTCTGAACATGTTTTGTTGCTTTGTCAAACATTTCATTTCCAGGTTATATGCCAGCATTCATGCAGTTGTTACACAGATACCTCCTTGCATTATTTCGGTAGTTAGGAACTTTATTTCACTGATTATGCTTTCTGAAATCCCCGTTCTAATCACTATAATACCGACAAGGCATTAGATAAAATTAGAGCTGCAGCAGCCAGACAGACGTGCATCTCTAATCCAGGTTAGTGCCAATATTATCCCCATTAATTCAGCCATCAGAACAGTCACATAATTGAATAGCCTTTTAGATCTCTAGATTCCTAGGAAGATAGAATGCCATTCCAATCTACCACTGCTGTCATCTTTTGATCCACTTGTATAGATTTGATAAAGCTGTCACCATTTTTCTAAATAAATTTAGAAATGTCATTGGTCATGAAGTATTTTTTTCCCCTTCCCTCAGTTTTTTCACATAACACCAAATATAAAAACGGAGAAGAAGCTGTCTAGGTATAGTTTGATTTCCCATGACTAAAATGTTTAGCTTTCTCAATTTTTCTTTTTAATACCTCTCCTTTACCATTTTTGACCTTGATAAGATGAGGAAGTCTGTGACAAACCATATATTTTTGTCTAATAACTCTTGGCAATTCTTATACATTTATTGTGTATTTCTGTTTTCATGATTTCCTTTCCCTTTTGCCCAAAAGGTTAGCTCTAATAGTTTCATTCTTCAATTTATAGGTGCCATTCCAGTGGCTATTTGCAGAACACACACTGGTATTGTTTACAGATATTAGAGTTTAACCGATTAACTGTTTAACCAATAAGCTGATGCTTATGGATGAATGGTATCGGTTAAATTCAGCCGGCTCCTGGGGACCTTGGTGGGCAAGGGCTACCAGCTTTGCTCCACTAGGAGCCCATTGGGCAAGACCTGCTGCCTCTGCTACTAGGGAGGTGGCTTCGCTGTGACAGCAAAGCTTCCTCCCCAGGGAAGGGCTGGCGGCCCCACTCCCAGGGAGATTTTGCTGCAGGATCTGCAGTATAAAGCTAAGCTAAGCTTTATACTGAAGAGCCCACAGCCCGTGTAACTGTGTAACTGCTACGATTTTTAGTGGATACACGGTTACTGTATTAAATGATTTTTAACATCTCTAGTATTGTTATTATTTTACTACATGCTAGTTGCAGAGGTGGGGCCTGCATTTGAGGCTGAATTGAAAGTTTGTTATCTGGAACTTCAGATTGTAAATTCTATACAGCATCATCAGCACTCCATTTGTTTCCAACTACATTTTTTAGTACATTCATCCTGCTTTTACAGTTTTGTATACCATGCATATGACCTTCCCAAATACATTTTATTATCACACACTTCTTTTAGGAACATTAACTTTTGAACTATCTGAATTTTTTTCACCATAAAGAAGTAAGTCCCAGTTGCCCCTAATTTTCTTTCCAGTGAAAAGCATTCCCGTTGGCAGGGGAGCTGACAGCTCCTGTGGGCCCCTGGACAAGGTGTGTTGGGAGCCCAGCTCCACATGCGAAAAGGACGGGGCTAGAGCAGCCAGCCCTCAGTACCACCCAGAGCATGGTGTGCCCTTTTC